ACAAAGCCGGACAGATTCTCCCCTGCACCCTGCTGCCCCTCAGAGCTGCCGATTCCGCCCCTCGACCCCAGGTTCCTCGTTCCCAGCTAACCCCCAGAGCTACACCAAGGCAAAGCTGAAGTAACCCAGGGCAGAAGTGGGAAGCCAGAAGATACCGATTAGGAGCCTGAGTCTCCTCTCCACTGAGGTTCCCTTTGAGCATCAGGCCTGTAGCAGGAACAGCAGCTGCACTGCCCAGGCCTGGATTCTGATCTCACACCCATGGAAACGTGACACGACTCCCGTGGACGTGATCTGGGAGGAAGCTCACCGCGACAGCGACCAGCTACCAGCGACGCTCCTCCATTGGTGGTGGACCCTGCTCCATTTGAGCCGCGCTGGTACAGTCACTAATGATGTGTTTTGAAAGGCGGAGGGAAGGGGTGGGTACACAGAACAGGCTAAACAGGACAGCTCTGAAATGCGTCGATCGCCCAGGACAACCCTGACTTGACCCTTCCGTCAAGTTCGATGACGCCGTTCTGTGGGTCAGACGCACACAGCCCTGACCGCCGAATGCCAAATATTTTTTGACTTTTTTTTTAAATTACTGTCGTTCATTTCTTCTCACTCAACTAAACAGATGCAGCAGTCCCAGCTGATGGGGAGCGGGAGGGCTAGGGCAGCACAGGTGTGTTAAGGGGAGGGGCATTTGGTCCAGGTGGAAGGGTTTGCAAGTGGTGCTTTAGGGGAAGGAAGGAGGTTGTTTTCAGAGCCCCCTGCAGGTCGGGCTCCATGCACAATTGGATTTCCTGCCTTCCCTCTGTGGAGCAGATCGGGGGGGTTCCCAGAGCACATTTAAAACAAGCAGCTAAAGTCTTAAAACCAGCAGCTGTTGGGCAAGCACAAAGGTACCTGCACCAACCTGGAACAAGACCAACCTAAAACCACCTGGGCTTCCTCTTCCCCTGGAGTCCAAATCCCCGCCACCATCCCCCCAAGCATGGGCCACGAGGCGCTCACACACCTTTGGGAACGCCTGGAAAGAAACAGCTGCTGCATCTCAACCACGCCCCCCCCCCCACTTGCCACCCGGCATCCTCACTTCATCCAGACTGATGCACCTTGGCAAAGGGACAAGACAAATAATGGGGGGGGGCGCCTCTAGCTAACGAGAGGCGAGCTAGAACTGGGTAAAAACCAGAATCATAGAATCGTGGGACTGGAAGGGACCTCAAGAGGTCATCTAGTCCAGTCCCCTGCAGTCTTGGCAGGACTAAGTATTATCTAGATCATCCCTGACAGGTGTTTGTCTAACCTGCTCTTAAAAATCTCCAATGATGGAGATGCCACAATGTCCCTGGGCAATTTAGCCCAGTGCTTAATCACCCTGACAGTTAGGAAGTTTTTCCTAATGTCCAACCTAAACCGCCCATGCTGCAATTTAAGCCCATGATCATACGTCATCGCTTAACCCTGCTCGGGTGCAGCCTAGCCCCGTGGCTGGGCTAGCACCCAAGGGAGTCCTTAGAAGGACAAAAGCACGTGGGAAGCAAAGAACTACAGTCGCGACGTGCGTTCCCATAATGGGAGGGCCAGATTTTCAGCCCGTCCCGCCTGGCTTGTTGCCCCTAGCAATGATCAGTCACAAGGGCAGATACAGCATTTCTTCCCTCCCACCGTCCCTTAGTTTAGGGCCTCTCCTGCCACGCTTGGGCCGCCACTGATTCAGCCGTTTAGCTGCATGGAGAACGGTCTTCCCGCCCCGTGAACGTGGTCGAGCGTTTCAAGTTTTTGCCCCTCCGTCTCACTTGGGACAGAAGAGTCGAAATCGCAGCTATTCACACAGCCAAACCCTGATGCCGTTTGCCAGCTGAAATATTTTTGTCGCGCTACTTTCTGGCCGTGGTCTTTCCCCTCGGACTGTTTTTCTTTTCTTTTTCAAACCTTGTTTTCGATTGAACGCGCTGAAATGGCCAACCCAAGAGGCACGGCAAATGGGAACATGTCGCTTACGAAGCGTCGAGTGAAGCGTTTCAATGGTGTTTAAACGGTTCCCTCCACCCTGTTCCGAGCCGTGCGATTCGCCGAACCCAGCCCCCTTTCGGCTTCGATGAATCGACGGGCAGTGACGAAAAACAATTCGTCACAAACTTGCCTGCAGAAGGCGCTGCAAAGCTCTGCAGTCTCACATCTTAACGTGCATGACTGTGCCCAGGTCCGGGCCAGATTAACGCCGCAGCAATTGGCCAAGACGTCCTCCCCCGCCCCATGCAGTTACACCATGCGCCCCGCAGTCTGGGAGGCTCCGAATGCTCTGGCCTCCAGGCTGTGGGGAGCATTTCGTGAGCACCATCTTCGGAAGTGCCATCACATGGAGTACGCAGCACAAACCCCTTCCAAACCAAGCACTCTGGGTGATCCTAGCTTGCCACGGCCAGAAGGGACCGGTTTGATCTCATCTGACTTCCTGCATAGCACGGGGCAGAGAAACCCCTGCAGTCAGGGATTCTCCAGGCCTTGAGGCTGAGCTAGGTCAGATCTTTGGGCAAGACATCCAGCGCTGATGTACTCTGCCATAACCCTAGCTAGATTTTTAAGGTCCATCCTTGTGGCATCTGGGTGCAGGTGAAACGTCCACGGGAAGATTTGCCTGCACAGAGAGTGCAGGAGGGCGAGGGAGCCTTGCAGGTCTTGCCTTGGACCTCGCACAAGAGCATTCGGATGGGGTAGCGTTTTGACACCCAATCTGCCCTGTTGGACAGGCTGCCTTCCCTGCAAAAACTGCAGTGGTTTTACATCTCCAGGGGATGCCCTGGTGGCTAGAAGGCACAAGAAGTTTGTTTTACCCTGATGTAGCTAATCAAGGTCAGGGCTATATTCTCCACCAGGGAGATTTCCCTAGACTAGCTGCCTCATCTCCTCTTGGGTTTTGCATCAAGGTGCAAAAAAATTACACCTCTTTTTGGCCGTGAAGAGCGTGCGAGCCAGTGGAATGGGTCCCCACAATGTGCATCAGTGCTGGTTTGAACTCAGCAACTCCCCCCCCACCCTCCCCCCAAAAATCCAACACCCCAAACTAGAAGCTCCCCCATCCGCTTTACACCCTGGGCTCTCGTAACTAATCCTGTGCAGAAAGGATCCGTCACTCATAGCAAGCGGGTCCAGAGCTGGTTCCACGCGACCTGCGCCAGCCCTAACCAATCAAACAGCACAACCCATCTTGTTTTTCTAAGTAACCGTCTCTCTCGCTCTTTCCATTCTTCGATGTAGCTGGTCTTTTTAAGAAAACATGCGTAGTACTGTCCGTATGCAAAACTGTGCTGTGGTGTAGTTTTTAGATGTTTGTAAAGAACAACAAAAATGTACAAAACCCCCTCTCCCCCCCCAAAAATCAAGCAAACTAATAATTCAGCTGTGGTCTTTGGTTTGTCCATTTTGTATAAAACAGAGTGATTAGATATGACAATTATTTTAAATGTCATGCTGGGAAAAAAAAATCACATAAAAAAATATAAGGTGCTGTGAATTAAATAAAAAAGACCGTGTCAGGTTCGTTTGGCTGGAAAAGGAAATTGCGCCCCCTGCTGGCTCAGTGACAATTTTTTCCAGCGCTATGAACTAATATTCCACAAAAATCAATGTAAAAAAAAAAAAAAGATTAAAAAGATTAAAAAAAACCAACAGCTGCCTCGGAGTCTGGTTTGGGCTGGGGGGTGGTCTTAGGGGTGCTGGGAAATAAATGGGTTTGTGCCCCTTTTCGTTTGCACACACTGTGTGTATGGAAGTGGGGGGAGCGGGACAGAGCTTATGAAAAAGGCCAGCAGAAAATATAATGCAAGATGATTTGCTCAGCCTGTGTTTCCACTCGTGGGACTGAGAGCAGAATCTCCCGTTCCTCAGAACTGCACAATCACAGATAAATCATTTTGATTTCCTAATCGGATTCAGCTACCGCCCCGGCCAGGAAAAACATCCTCCAACAGTCCCAAAGGAGAAAGATAACGAGAGCTTCAAAACTTCCCAGGCCCTGTAACAGCCGAGAGCGTTCCAGCCACGCATCTGAGCCAATGGATGAAGACTGAACATTCCAAATCCCAAACACACAGGCCAGACCTCGGTCATTTCGTCACCACGTGTGCCCGCTTACGCTAATCCTTGCCCTAATAGTTATGGGGAAAACCCAAATGGGCTGCTACAGATCTGTTTTCTAGTTTTTATTGGGGAGGGTGTAAAAAAAAGACCCAAGATCAGGATAACTTTGAGATCAAACAAACATCCCCAAGAAGTTTGTGGGCAGATTCTGGCCCCAACAGTGTTTTGAATGTTTCCCTGTGTTGCTTTTAACCCCAACATCCCAGCCTTGTGCTAGCACAGGAGAAGCAGAGGGCACCTGGGGTGGGGGTGGGATGGACAGATGGACACACTCACGGTCACAAAACTGACCAGTCTATTTTCCATTGCCCCAAGCTGAAGACATTGCAAAATAAAGCAGAAATGATGAAAAGTAACACTGAAACAAAGCAGAAATGAAGATTCTTTCAACCCCTAATTTCCGTTTTCCTCCGTGCAGGAAATGAGGAAAACGCACTGCTTGCTATATCCCCGGTAGGTAGGTATTCATTATTACCATTATTCATCTGCTGCCTGTTTGGATGCAGAGCTCATAGCTGATGGCAGAAATGACTTCTCTCTCATTGGCCTTACCTATATTTTTAGTAGCCCTGCAGAGCCAGGACAAGCCAAAGGGCTTCTATGAGTCTTGCAGGGCCAGCCCGGGGACAGAGTTTATTCTGGCTCAAACATCCTCAACAGAACGATTAACTCTGTTCCAATGACAGTCCCAAATTGCATTCCCGGTCATCGGGGGCAGGGTCTGTTCTGCAGAATCCTTGTCGCTGTGGACGATGCGAACAGGGTAAAAACCAAACCAGCACGTCTCAGTTTCCCAAGTGAAATAAAGAAGATTTTGCAGCTGCAAACTGAACCTGAGTCAACCAAATCCAGAGACACGACATCAATGCTTTCCAGCGTGAACCCATTCTTTGCTCGGCTGAGAGCTTTATTAACAACACCAGGGCTCCCCACATACACTTTAAACGCACGACACTGAGCTTTTTAAAGCCGTTGGAGAGATTTCGGGCACCCAGTCTCCATTAAAAATCAGGCTTCGCAAATCTCACCCAACTTTGCAGACACAATGATCATGAACACGTGCGTTAGCGCCCATCGGGAGCCTGGTCTGGTAGCCGGACCCTCCCGCTACCATGATAGCAGCGGAGCCAGGGATATTTCACATGACCGACCGAAAAACCAATAACCCGCGGCCAAGTGCAGGGGGCGGGCGGAGTCTGGGGCTGACCCTGGTGGACTCCTGGCATTGGTGGTGCAACCCCAGCCTGTGAATGTTTCCACTTCCAGCGCTAGGCGGCTTTGCAAGGCTCTGGATGTGGTCACAATGTGAGCGTCAGGGTCACCCCCAGGGAGTGAGCTAACCCAACCCTCCCCCCCCCCCAGTGCCGTCCCGCAGGGTCACCCCTGACTGCCCAGTTTGGTCGCCATGTGCGGGTCGTGTTTGGATCCCCCGAGGCATCCCGGACTCTGGCTCACTCTCTGGTTCTCTTCCCACTGCTGGGGGGTCTTGGCTTGGATGGAGAGGGCATGGACGGGCCCGGCCAGCTCAGCCTGGAGGATCTCATTCACCAGCCGGTGGCGCTGGAGCAGGGGCAGGCCGGCGAAGCGCTGGCTGGCGATCACCACCTTGAAGTGGGTCTCGGAGCCCCGGGGCACGGCGTGCATGGAGCTCTCGTTGTGCACTTCCAGGTGCACCGGCTGCAGGGCCTGCCGGAGCTTGGCGCGAATGGACGACTCCACCGGCTTCTCCTCCATGGCGGGACCGGCTGTCGAGTACCCAAAGCTGGGGGCTGGCCGAGGGAGGGCTTGGCGAAGGAGGCGGGAGGGGAGCATCTGGCGGGGGGACAGCGCCCCAAGGCTGCAACACAGAGAGTGGGGAGGGACAGACTGAGACAACATCCCCTAGTACAGCATCGGCTGCCTGCAGATTTGGAGGGTAAGGGGCAGCTGTGCATGGGGAGGGCAGAGCCTGCTATCAGGAGGGGGAGCACAGGGGCAAGAGAATGCGGGGGGGGGGGGAGGGGGAAGGGCATGAAGGGTGAGCATGACGACATGATGACAGCCTGCGATTTGGATGCGGGGGGGGGGATATTTCATGCAGGGCAGGGGGAGAACCTGGGAGGGGAGGCGTGGCTGTGGGGTGGGGGAGATCCCAGGTTTGCCTGGAGGGAGAGGGG